TGTGGGTGTGGCTGCGGGTGTCGGTGTCGGTGTGGCATGTGGGTGAGGGTTAGGTTGTGGGGTGTGGGTGTGGGTGTGGGTGTGGGTGGGTGTGGCTGTGGGATGTGGGAATTGGTTGGGTGTGAGGGTTCAGATAAAAAAAAAGATAATCACCCAGATCCAGACCCACACCCCACACCTACACCCACACCCCACCCACACCCATAATACATAACTAACACATGATTGGAGAATATATTGGGTATTATCCTGTATCAGCTCTATAATGTAAAGTAAGCCACGATGAAGAAACGTACACCAATATGCATAAAAAAGAACAATTTTTATAAGATTGGCAACAGCAGGTACATTGTGTTTCACATTTTTAATCCCGCAAGGGATTGCGCTAACAGCTTTTTTAAAATAAAATGTCTTATGAATACATGAATATTAACTCAACCTTGAAGATAATATCAGTTATATTATCTGTCAATTTGTTCTTCCTGTTTTTCTAGAGCTTTTCACAGTGCATATTTTTTTAAGAGAAAATCTAAATTATATGATTTATCTTTTGCAATATTTTTATTCTGGTTTAAATTATTTGTCACTCAATATGGCTATGATATTTGATGTTTATGATTTATTAGATTATTAATTTAAAGATTTATCTAATAATAAAAATGATTCTACTTTTGCATTATTTATTTATTCAATATATCAAACGAAAATTGTTAATAAACAATGGTTGTCTTGTTATGTATTATTCTTAAAAAAAAGAGAGATTTTCTAATTAATATATGACGTTTAAATTTTGTTATAATTGTAATATAAAACTGAAAAATTATATTAAATTAATTAATTGTTTCAATTCGTTATTTATTTAAATGGTTTTTAAAACCTTTTATGTGTAAATACATTATTTTTTTTTTTGCATATATCAAATTTCGATGATTAATTATTAATATATTTTGTGAATAGAAAAATGTTCGATGAGAAAGAAGAAGAAAAATATAAAATCATCATACTTTTTATTTTTACGATCGATAGTATATGATTTGATCGTCTATTATGGTATGCAATCATCGACATCTGTACATATATATTTACCTGGTTTTTGTTCTCTTTCATTTATATAGGTAGATGAAAAAGTGATTAAGAGTAGCCAACTTCGCATTACACATAGGTGAAAACACACAGTTTTTATTACTTTTTTTCAACTAATAATACAAACAACAATATTGAACAAGAAAAAATGTCTCTTTCTGAACAAGATTTACAAAAATATGTTGGACAAAATGTGGATAATGTTCAAAAAGAATTAGAAAATCAAGGTAAGAAAATCTTTTTTTTTTCATTTCATTCTGATATATTATTATTATTCATCAAGGTTATAAA